CGCAATTAATGCAAAAGTGATCATTATTCCATTAGGGACACTGTTTAATCCTGGCAGTGTAAGTGGCCAAATGAAAGAATATATCACCCCATTGTAAATCCCATGATTAGCTTTCCTCACGCTAATTATGATAGAACAATTTCAATTTACATTGGTATTTCAACAGCAAGGAAATACAGAGGGTCGCAAATATGAGTGACCAATCATCACATTACGCATCATTGAAATAAAATATATATAACATTAATGTTATGAAAATAAAAATATATCACCCAAGCGAGCACAGCCGGCTTTCAGGTGATGCAAGGATAATCTTGGTATCCTTAATCAGGCGACACCTGACATTGCCAAATTGACCGATTTAGTTGTAGACCAAAATATCCCTCCAGAAACCCCTCTCACAAAACTTGATCCTATCTCAATCAAAATCTCATTCCATTCATCAAGTTTTAATAAACAAAGTACAACTCTTTCTCAAATTACGGCTGTACAAAGTGTAGCATATTTTTGTTTCATCAGATATTTGTTTTATTTATACTTATCAATGTGGTACTTTGCTTACAACATAGATAGAATCATGCCTTCACGTACTCGTTCGGCCAAAAAATTTGAATTGACTCAACCTTCTGCAGCTTCAGGTGATGTGGATGCCGGAGCAAACATTGGTGCGAATGAGAAGCAAGTTTGACTATGATCGGCTACTTATAACGTCATTATTACTTACATTATAAATGTTATGTTTATTCAGCAAACCTTCACTAGCTGCTTGATCATCATCCACTTCAACACTCTCAGTAGGAAGATCCATTATCAGTAGTAATGAAAAACCTGATGTCACTCCCTCGTCATCTGAAGATGTAAACACAGCTGCAGTCGATGCCAAAGCACCTACCTTACACTACACCAAATGTCATCTTTACCGGGCGGTAAAGAAAACTACTGACATAGAAAAGTCCTGAGGCAACAGGAAGAGAGCTAAAAATCTGAAAAAATATGCACCTTGTTCCTAGATGTTGGGGCGTCATGATGAGTATTTTTTTGTATTTTACACGCAGATATTGGTTTATGTACTAACAATAAACGCTGAAAATCATCAAAAACTCACATGTAACAATACCTGAAATTTGGGTCATGAGTATGAAGACAATATTTTGTGGTCTAAAAACTTCAATAACTTTTGCAATTCTGCTCCAAATAACTCGATTTTTGGTTCATTCAAAAGCTGAACTATTCTCCTTCACACATCAGAAAAATAGAAAGGTGCTATCTAGTCTTTTAAACACTCTACATATGTTCAAACAGTTCTGCATGAATAGCTCTGTAAGATCTTTTTTAGACCAGCT